ATATATATAGTAAGCTAATTGTGTTAGCTATATAAAAACAATAGAAGTATGTGGAATGTCCAGATCTGGACAGCTAAGTAAACGTGTAAGAGATGCGCTAGTGGCAGATCTGAGCCAATAGTTGATCAGCCGCTGACCTAAGAAAATTAATAAGTGGTGGATAAAGCTGAGGTGGAAAGCCAGGAAATTAAGAGAGTCTTTCCTGCTGACCCAGCATGTGATTGCTGAGCATGTGTGTTGGTTGACTGTTGTGAGAGCCTATGCCTCGAGTTTGTGTTACTAAGTACTTCTTTTGTTAACCAATCTAACCTGTTTATAATTTGACTCTGTTGAACTATATACTGTTCAAATTCCTTTGTTGTTGCCCGTATTTAATTGTGGAAGCCGTATAGAGATGGACGCCATTTTCTTTTGCTAATCGTGTTTTCACCTGTTTTAAGTTAGTTAGGGAGTGAGGTAAGAGTTATGTTGTTTACATTTGTTTTTATTATTATTATTATTATTATTATTTATTCAGGTAAGTTAGTTTGATCCTCCCAACATTTAGACTTCTTTTGTTTGTTGTTTTGGCCTGGTCCCCTCTTGAAGTTTCTTGCTCCCGCTTTCTTGCTTTTTTTTTGCACCTTTTCTCCAACCTCTAGACAAAAAAATGTAACAAATGTCACAACTGTGCAGTAATTTCATCACGTACTGTTGTTCAGAGGGCCATCAAAGCAAAACATAAAACTTACAGAGGCTACACGAGTGCTATCGAAGAGCATTCAAATGTGGATTGACAGAATTAGATAAATAAGAATATAATATACATAAATGCGAATATCTAACTAAATATTGCAACTACAAGTAATTTCGTACACGAACTTGTGTACGCACTTATATACGCACTCCGTGTAGATGTAACTAGTTCACGTATTTCTTTAAAAAGAAAAACAATTATTTCTTTGCTGTCATTCCATGATGATTCTACAAAAAAAATCGTTAAATTAAAGCAATCAAATTGTGTGTTTGAGTTATAGCTTAGGCTACTCAAGAATTCAAATTAAGTGCAACTAACATGCTTATGAAGCTTAGTCCTTCTAACATAAAGTTCTACTAACTTAATCTTGCATTTTATTAATAAAAACGAATTCTGCGTTTACATTGATTTACTCTAGGCCAGCATTTTTTCTATACTTAAAGATGAACAACCTTTTTTTCTCTCTCTCTCGTCCACATTAATTTTAAAGCCATTTTGAGTAGCGGCACCGTCGTTATTAATGTTTGAAAAGCTGCAGTGCATCTGCATTCGTTACGTTCATTCTCCATGTCTGCATCTGTCTTTTTAAAAGGGAATGGAAGGGATAAAAGTTTACTTACACGAGCGAGAGTTGTGGACAAAGTTTCATGAAGTGGGAACTGAAATGATCATCACCAAAGCAGGGAGGTAAGACACAAATGTTTACAAATGTTTCGAAAATGCATTGCATATTTTCGGATAACCTAGGCTATATAAAAATAAAAAATGCACACAAAGCACAATTACGAATTTATCATTACAATCGTTATAATACTAATTCGCCTATTATTATTAATAATTATAATACTAATTTAACAATATTCATTATAAATGAGTCTATTCTTTTATATATTCTTCCTACTGCAATGGACATATATAGATTTTAATATACTTTTTCCATTTTGATTTTTAACGGCACAATGTGGTTTGCTTGGGGCTATATAGATTAGCATAAAAGTCAGGTTTCTACACAGCTCTAATAGTGATTTCTAAGTGGTTCGTTTAGATGTATTTCAACATTTTAACTTTGTATTATATAAGTATTATTTATACTACTTTGTATTTGTTTTTTTATTATTAAGAATGTATTTTGAAAGTTTGAGATTACAACATTTTGCATTGTTAGCAGTGAGCTAATTCCAGTAAATCAGTAAGCATTAGTTTGACCCCATAATTTAAGAGTTTTTATGCGAATTATTACTGGAGCTGGAAATATTCATCATTTGGATTCTCGATGCAGATTTTTCCAATATTGTTACAGTTATGCACCAAACGTTGATCTCACTTTAAAACGTTAAGAACATTTGTTTACAATATTATCATCGCATACTAACAGCATTGTCTCTGAAATGTACAATTAACGGGATTTGCTAGTCTGTTTTAAGTTTACTAATTGTTTATAAGATAGCAGCAGTCTGGTGGTTTATATCTGCGGCATTGTTATTATTCTCTTTTAGCGGAGAAGTGTTAGAATATATTGAACACTGAAGTTAGTATTTCAGCAAGCGTGTAGTCCTCTTTCATTAACAATCAGATGCGGGTTAAAAAAATTAAATCAGTGGGCATTAACTTCTCACTGCGACTTTGCTGTTGCTTGACATTAGGCTCAGTGTGAGAGGATAAAAAGATCGAGAAATACCGAGATCATCGCTGGAAATTATTTTGATGTTTAACGTTATAAATGCCTCAATGAGTCCGTATGCCTGATAGCAAATTGTATTGCAGTTCTTGTCATTTATTATTCAGTCACATCGCGGCGGCTTTCAAAAACGGATTTTCTCTCTGAACACAGCTGGACAAGGTGGCTTTTGTACTAATATCGTTTCCTCGTCAGTTTAGTGAAAAAAAGTATTCTCTACCTTATAGTCTGGAGTAAAAACTCTTGACAAAATCGCCACAAACCTGAACAGGCAACTCGACCGTTCAACATAACTGATTTTGTGGAGTGTCAAAAAATCGTCTCCATGACGCTTCAGAATAAATATTATACGCTGGTTTAAAATGATCGATTTAGGCTATATGTATTTTAAATGAATATAATATGTTTTCTCCTGTAACAAATCTACACTGAAGTTGAAAAATAAAAGTCTAGTAGTAGTAGTAGTAGTAGCCTATGTCATCATAATTAAATAAAAGCTTAAACACATATTGTAGGCAATCCGTGCTGTAATATTTTCCCATTTTTATCCACAGGCGGATGTTCCCAAGCTTCAAAGTGAAGGTCACCGTGTTGAACCCAAAAACCAAATACATTCTGCTGATGGATGTTGTGCCAGCGGACGACCACCGCTATAAATTCGCCGATAACAAATGGTTCGTGAGTCAATTGTTTTATTAAGAGTCAAAGTTACTGATGCAGGTTATTTATTTGCTAATTTTATTTCTGACATTCCTTTTTTTTCCCACTTAAGTAGATGGCTTCTGGAAGATTTTCAAAGTCGTTTAAAGCAAAAGTTTAAAGTTTTCAATTGTCCATCTTAGCCAACTTCTAGTACTAAAGAGAACCTTCTCAAATGTTCCTGACAAGACCTGTCAGAATATCAAGCTGGTGCAACACATATTAGTCAAATAATTAAATTAGGCTCATTCATTCTCATTATTAATCCTTAAAGATTATAGGTGCAGTGCTGAGGGACACAGACTAAGTAAAGGAGGCAGTGTGGCCATTCAAATATTCCTTAATGGTAACACAAATTAGTTTTTACATTTCAGTTTAAACAATTTAAACTTTAAAATGTATACATTAAGGATGAGAAAAAATAACCTTCGCATTGCTGTACAGACAATTCCATCTGCTGCACAGAACTGCTACTTGTTTTATATTCCTTTTTTAGGGTCAGTGGTTTTAAATTGTTGAGGTTATTGAGGGAGGATGTCCACATGCCAATATCCCTGATAATTACCCATTCAGTGCAAGCTCATGGAACTAATGGCCCTCTTGATCAACCATCATCTTAGCCATTAACCAAATAAACCGGACTTTGAAAGACATGTACAATACACAAGGCAGTGATGCATGATAATGGGAGGTAGTAGGCTGGATCGCATTTCAATTGCAATAAAGGAAACATGTTGAGGGAACAAAACATCTTTTAGTTTTAATGAAATGATCCTTGTAATAATTAATGCATGGACAAATAAACAGAATCTCAAATCTGTCACAGTGACTTCCCTAATACAGCAGAGAGTAATATCAATGATCACATGACAGATAACTAAGTAAGATAAAAGTAAATAAAATATTTAATGTATTATAGACTACAGTGTTGAGGGAAGTCAATGTGTATTTACAATGAAGCAAATGTATGTATAAATAAAGACTAAATTGTGTTTAAAATGCTGTTTTTTGCACTACAAATCAGGTCTGTGACAGGGAAAGCAGAACCTGCGATGCCGGGAAGGCTGTACGTCCATCCAGATTCTCCAGCCACTGGAGCGCACTGGATGCGGCAACTGGTGTCTTTCCAGAAGCTTAAATTAACAAACAACCACCTTGATCCCTTTGGACATGTGAGTGAATAACTGATTCATGGATTTGCTTTGAAACTTTTTGCTTGAATAAACAAATATATTACTGACAAAATTATCACATTTTGGATTGTAGCTATTTGAAATCAGCACACACACAAAAAAAAATGAAATGACAGCAGAGAAAGAGGATTTGAGTTTTTAAAGAGACACACATGTCGATCTGATCAGGTAGTGTTGTGGATGAATTGTATCCAAGGATCTAGATCAGGAAATCCACCCCTGAAGAGGTGCTACTGACAAAAACCAGAACAGTGTAATAACCAAAACACATCTTAAATCCGGTAATGATAATTGTGACAACAGAAACACGGGCAGACAGCCTCAGATGTGAAAACACTAAATTCAGATTATAAATTTACTCTCTGTAAACTAGTGTGGGTTTAAAGAAATTGCATTCTTCAGGAACCGGAGATTTTAATATGTGTAGCATCCACTTTCAGCATAATGCACAGTCAACTAATATAGAGGAGTTTTTTGCTGTTGGTGAAAGCAAGACCAGCCCGAGCTCAGGAGTTTCAATTCAAAAGTCGCTCAGCTCAAAGTTTTACTAAAGCATGAGGTTCAACATTTCTCAGATTTCTGGACAAGCTAGATCACCTTAAGAGTGAGATTAGAAAAAGAAGCATTGTGTCTGTATCTGAACAGATGGTGCTTAGATGTCTCATATGCATATCTGTGACTGCAAGCAGTTTGCTGTTTAGTTCGGATCACAAGGTTGACGTCGATCAGGCTTGTTTTCCTGCCAAACCTCAGCTGGTAGAATGAAATCGGAGCCCAGCTGGAATGTGAGCCTAGTTGTAAATTTCTGTCCAGAATGCATTTTTGATTGGCTGCAGTGGTTCTTGGCATGCCCCCTTTTGTGCTGAAAGAGTGCCCTGGGATTTATAAATGAAGTATGGCTTCTCAACCAAAATAACAATCTATCGGTTTGTTGTTCCAGGTGGTTGAAATAATTTCAGACCTATTTATAATTACTAGTCTTGCTGAACATGCAATAAGCAGGAACATGTTAGGCAATACATGAAACAAACCAATAGTTCAGAACTCTGTCTTAATTTTTGACTCCAATGATGAGATAAAAATGTCTGAAAGAAACTTAGAATAATTCCCATGTGGATAACTTACAAAGCATGCACACAGTAAAAGCAATAGTTAACTTGCGAGGATGAGAACACAGTTTGAATTTTCCAAGTTAAAGATGTTTTTAGATGGAAGAAAACTACAGCTTTGGCTTTGATCATTTACCATTCATCAAGCGTTCATAGGCCTACACATTCTTTGCCTCTTGCAGCCGTCCAGAAATATCAAAATGGCAGAGTTTGGATAACTGTGCTTCAAACTGTTTATAGTTAATGACAGAGTGTGATGAGTGATGGACAGAGGTATACAAAGGCTGTTAATTTGCAGTGTTTCAGAGTCCCTGTGATGTTGGCAACATGAAAGAGTGGGGCAACATTCATGGCCCTCAGTGATCGCTCACTATCATTAAAAACTATCATACAGCGTAGGGGAAAATGGAGAAATGGGACAACAGGGCACCCCCAGAACAGACAAATGCTGCACTCCCAGTGGGTGGTCCCACAAAAAAACTTTTCTCATGTTCATACAGTTCTCCAAATATTCTTATGTCTCACTCAGCTTTTCGCCAAAACTGTGTGTTTGCAATTCTTGTTTAATCCAAGTAGGCCCTACAGTGTGCATGGCTGCATGCCTGATGCTTCAGAAAACTGTGAATTATTTAATTTCGACATCACAGATATTAAAGCAATGCATTTTGTATTTTACCTTCAGCAATAAATCATCTTGTCGATCTTGAGCAAAAGCAATATTCTCCACTGAGAGCAATGGTAAAAGTTCACAGCGAGCCCTGCTTTCCAAGTCTCAGTGTTGTGTTGAGCCAAGAGCTGCTTGGAGGGAGTGGACCGATGCCACTGATCAAAGGAGAAACACTGCAGTTGTTTGGAGAATGCATGCGAGGGGAAAAGCATGGAAATGGAAAATAGGAATGCATGTGTGTGTGTGTAAACTTGGCATGCTCATCCAGAATGCAAAGTTTAGACAAAATCCACTTAGAGTAGCCAACATTACACACACACATTTGACTTGTAGGATAGAAACAACCCACAAAGCCGACAAGAACTTGGACAAAAGTCATTTTAATAATATTCTTCTTAAAATCCATACTCAAGACAAGTGACCACTGCAAAACAGCTACTACAGATGGACATTTTTCAGCACTCCTGTAAAACTTCTGTTTGGTAGACAGATGTAGCGTTTGAGTCTCCTTTGAACATTAAATAGCATTTGGCAGGAGGTTTCAGAGATGGACAAAACCGTTTTGCATGTATTAAAACATGCAAAAGGAGAAAAAAGGGGACATTGCTTAGCAAAGTGTCTCTAGAAATCCGAGACTACAATTAGGCTTGTCCACGGAAAGCAGGTCTCAAGTTTAAGTGCGGACAGACGGACCGCAATAGCGCTAATTATTGATCTCAAAGCGGTACGGAGGAGGTCATATTTATATCAAATGTATTACTATTAATATAGTAGGCTATATTAGCCTACTGTCTGTAATCGAAACGATCAGCTGAATAATGCGCACGTGGATGCGAGATGTTTGCTTTACAAGGTCGGTCATGTTTGCGCTCTATTTTCTCTCCAGATTATCCTGAATTCCATGCATAAATATCAACCGAGGATCCACATCGTAAAGGCAGATGAGAATAACGGATTTGGATCCAAAAACACCGCTTTCTGCACCCATGTGTTCCCAGAAACGGCTTTCATTGCAGTCACATCTTACCAAAACCATAAGGTAACGACGGGATAAAATGAGTGACGAGAATTTTAGGTTATCGTGTTGTGATAATTTTTAACATTATAAATATGAAGTAAAAGAATAGATTCGATTTTGTTAATCTACGAAATGATAGAATTAGCATAGGTTTATCTGTTTTAGGAAAGTAACAAAAATTCGACTTATAATTCCTGGTTGATAGAATGATTCCAATTCAATTACTCGTAAGACCATGACAACAGCTTGATTTCATAGCCTTTTAGGGACTGTGGCAGATTTGCAGAAGAAGAAAAAAATATTTGTGTAGCAAGCAAAAATATTGTTGCTAATTGTAACTGTTGATTCCTCTGATACGAATTTATAATATTCATTAATGTAACGAGCATTTATAAATCTATTTATTTACTTTACCTGTTGATTTTTCCTCTCTGAATTCAAGAAAAGGTATCAGTTCATAAGCCGGCTAAGTGATTTTCTTGAAAGCATAGCTCGTCTTGCATATTGAAAGTCTGGCTGTATTACAGTTAATAATGCAACGCGTTTATTGTTAGACACACAGCTCAGCGAGAATTACTATCACATATTTTACTTAGAAAAAAAAGAATAAAAGATGTCCGAAATGTTTATATGGCTAAGCACTATGAAAACGAAATGTTACACTAATCATGATTTATTATTTAGTCAGCTGTTATATTTCTCAGAATATTCAAATTTCGAAAATTGGTTAATAGTCTAGTTCCAACCATGATATTTCTACCTCGTCATTCTAAGCTAGTTGATTGAACATGATATAAGTGGGGGGGAAATCGTTTGTAATAATAACTAAATACAGAGATAAATGACTGTACACCCAAACAATATGCACAGTGTGTCCTTAATAAATGATTACATTATTTGTCATAGGCATGTCTGTGTTTTTGTCACACTTGTTGCACTTTTGGATGGTCAGTTGTTAATGTAACTTTTGTGCAGTTAAAAACTCGTTTTTCGCTGTAGTCAAATAGTCCAAATAGTCCAAATAGTTGATAGTGCGTATCATATTTGCAAATAAGTATATGATAAAGATGGACACTTCGTTTCGGGTGAGTCTAACACTCATCTGGATAACGGTTTGTGTAATAATTGATTCGACTGGTGTGAGAAAGAATCGAACTGCGCACATTTAGCAGACTTTATTTTAGACCACTTTTGTTTACCAGTATTTATTCATTGAATGCAGTTAGAGTAAAACACCGGGACGGCCAAAGGTCTGTTTGTTTGACGTCTCTAGAAGGCTTTTCGACGCTTTTTTTAAGAGACCGCCGAGATGAAGTGCATATACTTTGTTGTTTTTTCGCCCTTGCTTTTAATACAAAAAGAAAAATGTTGGTTTTTAATTAACGGACAGGATGAAGTCTATTAATTATTTACACTGCTTGGTTTTTACATTTTTTCACCACTTATTTCTCTTACTTATAACCAATCAGGTTACCTTTATCTCATCACGAGCAACATTTCACTAGTTACATATGAGCATATGACACATATTCTTCCTTTGTATATATATATATATATATATATATATATATATATATATACACACACAC